AATATTGTTATTAAGATCTGTTCGAAAGGTCTACAAACCACTCACTGTGTATCTTCTTTTCTCTTTTTCCAATAACCAAAAAATCTGGTGTTTTCAGCTTCAAGTCTGTTAAAAATGGGTATCCCTGTATCCTTATTTGCTTAAATACCAGATTTGGTTCTCCAGCAGGATTTGAACTTGTGACGTGCTCCTAATTGTATTTATTTATTCTTTGCTAAAGGCTTCTTTATGTGCCGTTGACTGTCTGTTGGCGAGCAATGTTCATCTTTTCTGGCAATTCATCCTTATTTTCATGCACCGCAGTTTCCAAGGTACCTAAGCTTTGTCAAAGGATTGGTGGACTCTAATGACCTTCCTCTCAATGTTTCAAGGGAAATCCTTCAGGAAAGCCGAATTGTAAGGGCAAACCTTTTTGTTTTTTTGTGAATTAATGACAGTTGCTATTTTTATAAACTTCATTTTCCTGTTTAATGATCTGCAATGATGTCAGTGATGATTAAAAGTTCAAAGCTTATACATTCTTGAGCTTAATGTGTTTGGCTGATTTCATCCAGGTTAGGATAATGAAAAAGAGACTAGTACGAAAAACATTTGACATGATTCAGGATCTTTCTGAAAGTGAGAACAAAGAGGTATGAACTAATCAAAGCATTCTTTCCTTTAGTATTTTGCCTGGAAGAGTTTAAGAGCGGGACTATTTTGATATCCAGGATTACAAAAAATTCTGGGAGAATTTTGGTAAATTTTTGAAGTTGGGATGTATCGAAGACACCGGAAACCACAAGCGCATTACCCCATTGTTGAGATTTTTCTCTTCCAAGAGTGAAGAAGAGTTGATAAGCTTCGATGATTATGTTGAGAACATGGGTGAGAACCAGAAGGCCATTTATTACTTGGCAACAGATAGCTTGCAGAGTGCCAAGACTGCTCCTTTCTTGGAGAAATTGGTTCAGAAAGGGATAGAGGTATGTAGTTCTTGAATACAGTGCTATCAAAATATATATGTAAATGGATTATGAATGTAGCTCGAGCTAAGTTAGTGCTCGATGATTGTGTTTCTTTTAACATTCAGTAGAGTGCATTGACGTTCAACCATTAAAAAAGGGAGCTACGAATATCATGTACTTATCTCATAAAAAGTGTAAGCAATCAAGTCTGTTGGTCGAAAATAATACTGAAGTGTCAACTTCGTGGATGTCTTAGACCATTTATACGTCTTTCTCCGTTCACCTTCTCTCTAAAGTTTGGGTGAAGAATGTCATTCTTCTACCAAGTTTTCTTGCTCCTTCAATCGCAATGAGATTGGAACCTTGCTTTGTTGGTTCCATTAATAAAGTTTTCTTCCCATAATACAGCATTATACGTTGTTTGCATCTCAGGAACAGTTTATAGTCTTGGCAACATATATTTTCTTGAAAAGAGAAAATTTTTGGCCCTTTTGTGATCTCATACTTGATACCAAATAAAACACAATTTCAACTTTCATCAAAATGAGTTTGCCAAGGCAAGGAGATATCTCATGTTCTAGGGTTTGTCGGGTCTCAGAGGATCAGCTTCTGTGGCTTAAATCTCCACTTAATCACCTTATGTTTGTCCATTGATCAAAACGTTTGCACATGTTTTGCGGGGATACAGGTGTTGTACCTCGTTGAACCTATTGATGAGGTGGCCATCCAAAATCTACAAACTTACAAGGAAAAGAAGTTTGTTGACATAAGCAAGGAGGATTTGGAGCTTGGTAAGTACCATTGTTCATTCATTGACTGGGCTCCAGCATGTGAGTTGTTATGTTTTTCTTCATGTACTTGAAACTCAATCAAAGAGTAGAAGGGGAAGAGGAGAAAGAGGGAAGGGGAGGGTCAATGAATTTGACCCTTCTCCAAATTAATTTTGATATTACAATCTTTGACATTAATTTCAGGTGATGAGGATGAGGTGAAAGAACGAGAAACCAAGCAAGAGTTTAATCTTTTATGTGACTGGATAAAGCAACAGCTGGGAGAAAAGGTCGCAAAAGTACAAGTTTCAAATCGGTTGAGCTCATCACCATGCGTGCTTGTATCTGGAAAGTTTGGTTGGTCTGCCAACATGGAAAGGTCTGTTGGTTATGGTTTTTAATCTTCCTTTTTTCGTTTTGTTTGTTAGTTTCGCTAGATCGAGTTGAAGTTCTATCTTTTTCTATTAAATAGGTTGATGAAAGCTCAAACCCTAGGAGACACTTCAGCCATGGAGTTTATGAGAGGGAGAAGAATATTGGAGGTTAATCCTGATCATCCAATCATCAAAGACCTCAATGTAAGTTTTAGCACATGATTTATTCAAGTTCCTCATTTGAACTGTGAAATGATCTAAATTAGTGTTCTAAATTTTCAAGAATCATATAAAGATATTTGAAACATTTATAGCATAGAAAGCAAGACGTGGGTGTTAGAAAAACTATCAGATGTTAAACGAAAAAAATAAGAGACAATTGAGGCTTGTCAGGAAGGCAGTCTAATAATTTGAACTTCAGGAACATAAGCACCATTGTTCTCATAAAAAAACTGGAATAGTGTAGTGAAGTTGCATTTTATTGGCTGTTTATCAACTTATAAGATGTTAATAATAATAGAAGTTTACTCTATAAATATGTGCAGCAGATGGATGATATGCTAAATCAGTTACATGTATTACTGCTAAGTTTTGCTTTGCAGAAACTTACAAACACATAGGGTGTGAGGACTGAGGACCACTTGTCAATATTAAAGTTGATATTAGAACTTGTCTCATTTCTTTATTTGACATTGTCACTGAGAGTGCACTTTTGCAGGCTGCATGCAAGAACGCGCCTGATAGTTCTGATGCCAAGCGGGCTGTGGAACTGTTGTATGATACAGCATTGATCTCTAGTGGATTTACTGTAAGTACTATGAAAACCTTGCAAATATTACATTTCTTTCAATAATAATTATTCCTACATGAATCCTAACATGCCATTTCACTCCATTTAAGCTCATCTTAGATCAGTATTATACGTGATTGTTTATTGCTAATACACAAATTTAATGTGGCACTCATTTGTACAGCCTGACAGTCCAGCTGAATTAGGTAACAAGATATATGATATGATGTCAATGGCTCTTGGAGGAAGATGGGGCAGATATGAGGAAGGGGATATAGAGTCATCAGAACAGTTAAAGGAGTGTGCAGAGGCCCCAGTTGTTGAGCCATCAGAAGTAAGAACTGAGAGTAATGAGCTTTGGGAGTGATTCTGAAGCATCTTGTTTTGGCATTCTTTCTGTCCTAATGTCATCAATAATTGTCAGAAGAGAGAATTTTTTTATGTTCCTTGGAGGGAAGGAGGCAGAGGGGTTGCATGCGAGAAATTTTTGTTAAAGGAATTTTGGATGAACAATTAATTAAAATTTTTTGTCAGTCAAGTAATTGTTTTATTGTTTTTCTATGTATGCTTGTGTTTTTTTTGTTTCTCACCCGGTGTCCCGCATTTTTTGTTTGGGACGTTGATTAATCTGGATTTGTGCCGTGTCGGGCTCATTAAAGGAGCAATCGCCTCCTTACTAGTTTTTTTTTTGCTCTTGTCGACCTCTGATTAAGGATAGATGAATCCTATGTATCTAACCACAACCTTGGATGGTTATGTATGCATTTGTAGGTTGCTTCTTCCAGTCTCAAACTGGGTGGTTAAGAAATTAGTCCAATGTTTATCTACATCCATGATTATATTTCCCCCCACTTGACATCTATGAACAACAATGAATCCCACGTTCCTAGTAAAATAAATAATATATTTAGTAGAATTTGGTACTTCCAGAATTCTTACTACTTTATAATGTCAATTAAACAAAACCGTGGATTAAACCAGGCAAATTTAAGTTGAATACAAATAAATGTTAGTAACAAAAAACATCAATAGAAAAAAAACATTTTTCTACCATCAAATAAAGAAAATATGGAATCCAATTCAAGAAGAAAAAAACCTCAAGTCAAGGAGAAAAGTTTCAACACTATAACTAGAACTGGCATAATGGTGCATCAGTTTCAACTATTAGCCTTGTGTAAACATGGAATTTCATCCTTTCTTTTATTAGTATCCTTTTCCCATTCTTTCTCAACATAATGAAATCAGCAAGAAGGTGTTACACATAAATGCAAACAAAATCGAATTAAAATAATTTTATTTCACACCCCCATCTGGCATATGGATAAACACTAAAATAAAGTAGCCACCTTTTTATCACCTTGGAATCTCATAAATCTTGGGACATAGCTTTCTCCAAATTTCTTTTGCATCTCTTTGCTGATTTTCTTATCTGTGTGACAGTCTAATGTATATCCCTTTGGATCCCTTTCAGAAAGTGTGACTATTAGAATAACATATTTAGTAGAATTCTTGCTGAAAACAATAAAAAGAATGTAATTTTTTTAATTCCTCAAATTATAAATGAATCCTCATTTCAGACAGAATATTGGAAGATTTTCATGCTTTTTCCTTTTCCCTTTGTCCCACCAACTACCAAGACAATTTATTTTATTTCCTGGAAACTTGTAAGATTATCAGACATCTGGTACAGAGAATCTTATCAACTCAGTTATTTATAAATACCATGACCCCATTCACTGACTGATGTGATAATGTAGGTAAGATGTACAGATATCATTATGGCATCTTTCTAGCAAATAATTTGCTGTACAATGACAGAAAATAAAACAATAAAGGGACTGGGAAAGAGCTTTTAGTCAAGGGCTAATCTTTTTTTTTTTTTTTAAGAAGTGGAAACATCCTTGTTCAGAAATGCAGGGTAAGACCGCATGCAATAGACCCTTGTGATTCGGCCCTTACTCGGATCCCGCGCTTAGCGGGAGCTTAGTCCACCGGACTTCTCTTTTTAACCATCTAGTATCTGATATTCACTTGGCCTGACTAATCTGGATTCGCACCGGAATCCAAGGTTAATCAATTTTCAGGAACTACATAAATATTTATGTAGAGAAGGACAATCTTGGAATCAAAAGAATGAAACTTCATTTTCTATCATCGAAAGCACACAATTTTCAGGTTTCCTCCAATACATTTGAGAAACATAACCATTTCATCTCAAAGATCCAAGATTAAAACTAAATATGAATGATTGACTAATCTCCTTTGCACTTATTATCCCGAACGCCTAAATTCTTGAACCCTCATTTGCTCTTGTTGAAGGAAGAATTTCGATCATGTGTATAAATCTTCGGTCCTTGGAGCCAATAATATAGTGCTTATATAGATTGACCCATAAAAAGAAACTTTTAGTGGACTTGCTGTACAACTGAACTCAGAACTCCGCCAGGGGGGAGGCACACCTTGAATATGAGGAGCTCTCAATGTGAAAACTTCCCAAATGTTCAACTTTTCGAGCCCCAAAAACAAAATAATCTATGCACCTTAGTCCCCAAAGAAACAGAAAGTGTATCCAATTGATGTTCAAAACATTTCAAGGTTCTGCTTTCATTTGGCCAGGAGGCAGAGAACCTACAAATACAGCGAGTTTTGGTGATTCTTAGAGTAGCTAATGCTAATTTAGAAGAAGAGAATCATGCAGGATCATAGAAAACACTTACTTAAATCCTGGCTATTGAGGGGCGCGCTTGAGTTGAATTCCATCTCTACAACATTATGTAGCTGGTCATCCCAAATATTAGGTACCTAAGACAATATGAATTACAAGGCAAATGCTTAAAACATAAAGCAAAATTACTTTTGTTCACGACTCATTATGACGAGTAACAACAACAACAACAATCCAGTGTAATCCCACAAGTGAGGTCTGGGGGTAGGATGTACACAGCCTTATCCCTATCCTGGAAGGGCAGAGAAAATATGATCAATACAACTTAAAACCTGGAACGCGTAGCGCTAGTCAAATTCTACCTGAGATGAAGTATCCTTATAGCCACCACTCATAGAGGCGTAATGGGAATTGATGGATCTACGAAATGAATCAGTACAATTTCCCACACCAGGAAAACCTGACTGAAGCAGACCGGATTGCAATGCATGCAAAGAAGTATAAGGCATGGTCATATTATCAGGTGGAAAAACAAGTGAGGATGAAGGCCCTGCTTGCGACTGGAGGATCTGCAATAAAATGCAAATGTACATCCCAGCATTAGCAGCTGGGACTTATGCACCGTGTTCTGCTTTATGTAATGTTCAGAAAAGTTTAATAGTTCTTACATCTTTTGCAAGGAGCCCATCAAGATTAAAATCTAGCTGTGGGTTTACTGTTGCAAGCTTCATCGAGAGGAACTGTGAGAACAATAAGAGCCATTCGTAAATACATAGGAGCCATGAACTTTTTCATGGCAAAATTACTTAGCATGAGATTAGCAAATAGTAAAAATTGTTCAGATATTAAATGTGCAGAGGAAAATACGTGTCAATGTTATATGGTAATAAAACACTTAATAAAACAACCAGGAAAGGCCAAAGAAGGGGAGGGAATAGTTCACATCCAACAGCAGAATATGAAGCAACCAAATTATTCCTTGAATTTTGAAGGGAAGAACAGATATATTTTGAGAAAATGTGCAGAAGATAATCACTTAATGGATTCCATACCTCAACCTGTCTTTGCAGAGATTGTACATAATTAATGATTTCATCCAACATTACAGCTTTACCAGTGACCTGAAAAATCAAACCCCAGGTAACATACATAGAAAATGCAATATTAAATATTAGTAACAGTGTAACAATAAACAAACCTTGTTGCAACCAGGTACAAGATCCTGAAGATACTTCATTCGTTCACTGATTTTCTCTCGCCTTACCTGCAACCGGAACCACCTCACTTATCTTCAAGAACAAGTATATATCCCAAGAATTAAAGCTTCTACTATGAAGTCTTACTCTTTCTGCAAGACTATGGCTATTCGTTGCCTGGCCTCGTCGAGCTCGAATGTGTATGTATTCTTCTTTAGGTGGATCTGAAGCTTGAGACCTCTCTTTACTGTTTTTTTCACCGGGTTTGCTGGCAGTTGAATTCAAGTTTGGTCCCCCCTGAATTTCAGTTTGATCTTGTGCATGTTCAGCTGGCGGTTGTTGCGCTCCCTTCATTTGATCAGGTTGAGCATCCTGCCAAAAATGACAAGAACACTCAGCAAAGAATCATTTTGCAAAATTGCATAAACCAAGTGTTTCAGAGAAAATGTGGACTATTTGGAGCTATAGTAATTAAGACAGAACATACTTATTAACAATGACCTACCTGATCATTTCTTTTCCTTTTCTTTGAGCCAAGGCCCTTTGAGGAAGACTCCTCCCTAGCGCCTTCCATTTCCTCTTGACGGCCACTACATTCAGCTTCATCAGACTCATTTCCGGACAATCCAACTGCTTCTTTTCCTTCACCCTGAGACTTACCAAAGTTTTCATTCTTTTTCTCATTCTTGAGAGGGCTTTCTTTATTGGTCTCATGCTCTCTATGTAAAGCAACATCCTTGGAACTTTCAACCGCATTTCTCATATGCTGCTTCTGAGGGTTTATAGCAGAGGGTGAGTTTAATCCGTTGCTTGCAAAAACATCTTCTGACCTGCACGTTGGCGCAAGTCCCCTATAACAAGGCTTCACAGACTCAGGGATGCTAAAAGGGTTCATCATATCACTGAAGTTTCCTCCACTGAAGCACGAAAACCTTGCAGCTCTCTCAATGAAGCCTGAATCAGCTGGAAGCTGAGCTAAGCTTTGAGGAAGCATTCCAATATTAGGCGGTACAAACACGCCCCCTTTCAGCATTGCATTCGGTGGATTCCAACTCATACCAACTGTTCTATCAACACCACCTCTTGCACGGCCTGAGCCAATTTCTGCAATTCCGTGTGGATTTGTAGTGCTAGGATTAATTTGAACATTATTACCGTAGAAACTTAAGTTTGGGGAATTAGTAGGTCGATCCCAAATAGTGGGATAAAATGAATCTACTGTAGGATCACTTTTAGGGATCATTCCAATGGATGCATTTGTCAAGTTGGTGTCACTTAATTGCCACTCTAATGACATATTTGGTAACTGAAAATTCCCAGCATCCTCGTTCACCTTTAGTTGCTCAGTATCATTCTTGCTACTCATATCCATTATTTGGAATTGAATCAAATTTACACAAGCTAAAAAGAAAATCCAGGAAACAACCTATAACATACAAATCAAACAATTGGCCACTTCTAAAAGTTCCTCGTCGAGATGAGAGAGTTTGGCTCAGCTAGTGAAATGCCTCCCCACTTCCAATTGATAAGTCAGGAGTTTGAGTCACATTAGAGTTAATGAGGAAACACTGCTTACCCTTGAGGTAGGATGGCTACAGAAAGAAGAAAGAGAAAAAGCATTAAACATCCACACAAATAGTGAGATTGAAGGAACAAGATTCTGCATTTGTGCATAAAGACTGAACAATAATTCCCAAAATTTCTAGTTCAACAAATGCAAATAAAATAAAGAAAGCAATTACGCCTGAAAATTAAGGAAAATTCCTCCAAGAAGCTTAGCTAAAAGCAGAACAGAGAAACCAATCAAGCTAGCTCCCTCCAAAACAATAGGAAAAGAGGTAACTAACAACATCCCAATTCAATACACATATATAAGGGAGAAAACAAAGCTCAAAGCTTTAATTTGCTTCAAAATTACAAAGAGAAGTGCCAACCAATGTCCAAGAAAACACAATTCAAGTTAACTGAAGACCAGAGACATTAATTTCAGCATCATAAATACTCATTTATTAAAAACATAGCAGGAAAAACAGTATTAGTCAGAGTAAAACAGACACAACTTCCTAAGCTCAGCTCTGAAACTGAGAAAGACAAGACCAAAAGTAGGAAGGAAGGAAGGAAGAAAAGATACCTTCTTTCAGATTGTGTGCTACTCAGTAACACAGTAACTGTACAATGCTCTTTTTTTCTTGAATTTAGGGTGATGTTACAAACTGCAATGTACAGTCACTGTAGGAAGATTTTAAGAGAAACAAACAACCAGAAAACAATAAAGATAGAGAGAGAAGTATCACTATATTAGAAAGTTAGCAGGGTCAGAGAGAGAGAGAGAGAGAGAGAGAGAAAGAGAGGGAGAAGTTAAAGAAGAAAGGTTCTCTGCATTTATACCCACGCCTGCATCAAACCCCTACTGTTACTATAAAATAATTGAACAAAACACAAAATCTATTTTAAGAAAATGAAATACTACTACTGTAGAATTATCTAAATATTTTTTTGTGTCCACTATTTTTTTTCATGCATGTGGAGTATTATTTCAAAGGATTTGTTTGTAGGATATTCTTGGAATTAGTTTTAATTCACTCACCTCCATCTGAGAAATAGATATCAAAAAGATATACTTGTCCTTCTAAATATTTGAAAGTTATTACCACCTACAGTTTGTGAGTAATAAGTATTATTGCATCCTTAACAGTGGCGAAGTCAGAAATTTCTTCAAGAGTATTCAAACTTGAAAGAAGTGAAAAAATTCGCCGACAAAGAATGTTCAATATATGATATATACCTTTAAAACATACTCCCTCCGGTCCAAAATAAGTGATTTTTCAGCTTTTTTCTTGTGGTCCAAAATAAGTAATTTTTCCAGATTTCAAGAATGAATTAATTATTTTTTTCCTACATTGTCTTTAGAGTAATTAATGTTGGAGTATGTGTTAGGAGTGTTTATGTGAAGAGATAGTAAAAGTTAATATGGTCAGTTTCATTGCTAATTAATGTTAAAAGGTGAATTTCTTAATATGTGTGAAAACAATCAAAAAATTACTTATTTTGGACCGGAGGGAGTAATATTTTACCTATATATATAATATAATTTTCCAACGAAGGGTAGTCAACTGACATATCGTTTCGCCCCTGATCCCCTAATTTTCCGTTCAAATTATGATTATGAAATCGGCTTTGAGGTTACTTTATCCATCAAAGCAGAACTTTTCGATGAAAATTAAAATTAGCCGATCCCAAAGTTAATACCTAACATCGGGTGTAAAACCAAAAAAAAATATTTTTTTATCTCTGAGCTAGTTTTATTAATTCAGAAGTTGTTCTTTATCACAATTAAGTGTGAATGTGTGATGAAGAAAAATAATAAGTTGAAAAGATGGGAGAAAATTTGTACTTTGTTAATTGTTATGTACATGGTATAACTTAGTTTTCAGAAACAAAGTGTGGTAATAGGTGGAAATTCAAAATAATGGCCCAAAACCTTCGTTACATAAATCTATTCTGTCCCTCCTATAATATAGAAGGAGTCTTTAAGTCAAAGTAATGCAAATCGAATCAAAAGTTTGATAATGTCAAGAACTTTTAAAAAGCTTAATATCGTACGGATTAAATTATTGTAGTTTCACTAGTAATATCATTCTTGAAAATCTTGTAAAAGCAATTCTCTTTTGCTCATTATTGAGATTTTACGACCCCTTTTCAAGCTTTAAAAAAAAAAAAAGCACAACGCACTCTATATATTTTATTTTCAAAGACTATTTTCAGATATTTAATTGGGTAATAACTATTTTATATTAATAGGAGTCTATTGTAGATGATTGATATTGGAAAGGCGGTGTAGAGATATAATATCGTAAATTCACTGTCATGGCTTTCAAGCTTTTTGCAGGGTTAGCTAAACATCTTCAAGAAAAAGTAACAATTGTAGGGCTAGGATCTTTTTGTTATTACTTTTTATTCTCTAAAGTTGACTCATGTTTAAAAAAGATTTACTACTGCAGTCCGTTAGTAAGCTCAATAAGAAAAACTTTATTATGTGTAGTCACAATTAAATAATTCTCCATCCGTCCAGTTTATTTGATTCAAATTTTAATAGTCAAATAAATTTTTATCGCAATTTTTATACGATATTTAAATAGATTGAACTGTTAATTATTATAATTTATAATTTTTTTTAAATAAATTTTAAATACATAAATTTTATTTCAAAAAAGACAAAATTTGTATGCTAATTTGCGATTAAAAGGAAAAAAAATCATATAATTATAAAATGTAAATTACATAAATTGGGCAGAGGGAATACTCTGTGATTCCTATTATGTTTTCTTCCGAAAGCTTTTTACAATATGCTACACCGTTGATGGACTGTCCCTCGTGCTTTCTCTTAAGTATGTACTCTTCAGTAAAAGTATTTACTTGTCCACTATAGAATTTGCACAACTCTTAAAAAATAATAATAAATAAAATATATAATTTAACATTATACTCATATTAATTGATGCATATTTTTAATAAATTTGAGAAAATAATTTGAAATAAATAATTAATATTATGGGTATAACAAAAAAAAAGAAATTATCTTCTCATGATATACAAAAAGTGACAAGTAAAAATAAAAATTTATTTTTGAAATACTGGATAAATAAAAGTAAACTGAGGCAATAATTATTAGCTGGCCTTGGGACTTGAAATCACAGACCTAACCCTTAGAATAATGGAAATCTCTTTTCACACTTCTGCTTAGAAATTCTTAATAAATAGTACACTACACTTAAGCTTCGAGATTATAATAAAACTAATGAAAAAGGAANTATATATATATATATATATATATAAAGTTGGGAATTGGCAAGATGATGTGGCAGTCCTCTAAAGCCATCATTCTTATTTACTCCCTCCGGATCCAAAATAAGTGATTTTTAAATTTTTCACACAGATTAAGAAATTCATCTTTTAACATTAATGAGCAATGAAATTGACCATATTAACCTTTACTATCTCACATAAACACTCCTAACACATACTCCAACACTATTTACTTCAAGTATAATATAGGAAAAAAATAATTAATTCATTTTTGAAATCTGGAAAAATCACTTATTTTGGACCACAAAAAAATACCAAAAAATTACTTATTTTGGACCGAAGAGAGTATCTTTTTTCCTATTTTTTTGCACTTTCATCCTAAATTTAGTACAATCTCCATTTATTAAAATGATGATTATCCTCATAATTATTGTTATGAGTTTAAATAAGGAAAGAGGAGCAAATTTTTGGAATTGAATTAATGTTTTTCCTTTATTGTTACGAGTTTAAATAAGGAAAGAGGAGAAAATTTTGAAATTGAATTATATATTTTATTATATACATTAATTATGAATATTAAATAAGGAAGAGGAAGAGATTCACTTTAATTGGGTAAAATAAGCAGCTTAAATGACTTAAAGAAGAAAAGGTGTAAAATGACGCTGGTAAGGAGTATTAGCAATTAAATCAAAAACGGCTTCTCCCCACTCCTCCTATTTTTCTTCACAAATCCGATGAAAGCTCTCTGTTTCATTTGTCCAATTGTTAGTAGAAGTAATTATTCAATTATGAGTATTAAATTATATTTATCAGTTATTTGTTTTTTGATCTTTCTCATTCTTTACTTGACCATCCAAATTCTAATTCACCTATATATTGTGGTCTCTGGTTACATTTCAACAATATGGCTGGTGAGTTTTCAAATTATTTTTCACCTTAACAGTATTTCGTATTAGATGTTGTAAAAATTATATTGAAACCAAATATTTCAGCAAATGTTCATATATCCATACTTATACATATTAGATTATATTTATGTATGTAGATATGGAGTAGACTAAGGTGATGCTGATGGTGATATTAAAAATATTTTTCTATTACTTTTCAAGAGTCGATGAAGAAGTTTGGCAAGCATTTATTCAATGATAGACGATGAAGAAGTTTGGCAAGCATTTATTCAATGATAGACGATGAAGAAGTTTGGCAACTCTTGTAGTTCGTATGCAACTTTCATTTTCAAGTCATTGTTGTTTTTTTGTCTTTGTGTGTTGTATATTGATTATTATGCTGCAATTGTACTCTTGTATTACAAGCATTTTTCTGATTTTTTTTTTTTGGAAGAGTAGAAAATATATAGTATAGAAGGATTTTATATTGGATTAATAGATTATTGGTAATTTTGTGAAGAATGCGATTCGTATCTGACTTGTAGAGATATAATGTGGCACAACTCCATAATTAGAATGACCAATTATTTTTCATCACTTTTTTTTGTTGGTATTTTTCTCTTCTTCCCAATTAGAAGTGTAATAATTTTAATTATTTTCAGTTCTTTTATTTAAGGTTTTGCATATATAGTAACTCCAAGTATTTAATTGAATGTGGTAAAAAAAATAAAACTTCTTCCCCTCTTGAAATATATTGTCAAAATATTAAATTTAATGAGGCAAATTGAAAGAGGAATTGTAAGAAAGAGAAATAAATAAGAAAGAAAAAGTAGTTTGTAGAGCAGTGTAAGATAGGAGTAGAGAGAAAACGGAAAGGAAAAATAGTAGGAAGATTAGGCAATTAAAATGGAAGGAAAAAGAAGATCAATAAAAGAAACGATTGTAAAGAGATTTTCTTTTCTATTTTTGGTTTCTTTACTTTTCACTTCACTTTAATTAAATTTTTACTATTTTAGCTAATAGAATAAATTAAATGCATATATTACATCATGTATCTAATATATAACTAAACTAAGAATCGCGTATTAAAATCATATGCACATGCCTCTCCCCCACACAAAGTACAAATTTCCTTCTTTCTTTTTTTTCCTATAAAAACGTTCTGGTGATGGAAAATACAATATTATAAGCTCTAATTTCTTATAAAAATATTGTATTTTGTGACTAGATCAATATATAGAATTGTTTCTTATATGCATTTAAGTAGAAAGAAGTTATCTCTCCTATTTGGATTAAATTTATAAATAATTATTTAAATTCTATAATATCTATTATAACTGCGCGAAGCACAGACCAATTCTCTAGTTATACAATAATATAAGAAAAATCATTTTTCGTATATACTGAACTGTTAGACAAATCTAAATAACACGGAGTAACACATTATATACTCATATACAAGTACATATACAACAAACCACGAGCAAAACCCCGTGAGGGAATAATCCAAGGAAGAAGACAGCGAAGAAATAATTATTGCAACTAATATGATATATAATAGTAAACAAAGAGTGATTATATTCCTTAATGATTTTTTCTCCAATAAGAAAACCTCGGAAAAAAGAACGCTGCAAATGGAGTATTGCAACATATATGTATGACGACGAAAATGATTGTTACA